CTGGCTCAGTTGCTGCAGGACACGAACCGTCTGGCGGAGGCCGAACCGTTGATGCGCCGCGAGGTGACGATCTATCTGAAGTTCACACAAGCGACCGGACATCCACATCCGCACTTGCAGGACTCGGTGAGAAATTACCAAGCCCTTCTCCAGGAGCTGGGACACAACGATGTCGAAGTGCGACAGGAACTTGATGGTCTGTTAGCCCAATATGGACTGGCTCTGGGATACCGTCAGCAATAGAATTTTCCACAAGAGATCACCACCAATTGCTTCATTAGGCAGGAGATGTTTGCAGTACCGAAGGGAGCTAAGTCATCGTTTGCAGCGGTCGGTCCTGAAAGATCACACGCCAGTCGAGCACTTCATGAGTCATTGTTTGGGCTGCTGTGTGGGCGATGTAAGCAAGGTCGGGAGAGAGCTGTGCTGTGAAAGTGGGCGAGTTGACTCTGTTCTGGAGTGATTCGAGAACCTCGATCTGTTTCTTCAGGGACTCCTGCATCGACTGCGACCGCTGAGCGAGGCGGCGGAACTCGGCCTGGTTACTAATCCCAGCCAGAGCAGCACCCAACGCGGGAAAGAATCCACAGAAGAAGGTCAGCACATGACTCGGAATGTGGGGCCAGTGATGCCAGATCCCCTGAGTGAGATGCAACGAGCAGCAGAGCAGAGTCCCCCCCAGCAGACCAATTTCCATCCAATGCAGGCGATGTTCGATCTGAGCTGAACGAAGCTGTGATTCTTTATGGAACTTGACCTGTCCCTTTAGCATAGCAAGCTGGTCAGCGAGTGAACGCTGCAGATATTCTGTATTCACTACCGCAGTTGGTAGACCGAGTGAACGTTCGACCGCTCGGGCATACCAGGCCATCCAAGAGGTACCGGGGTTGCCATAGCTTGTCAGGTGCTCAGGAATCTGCGGCGTCGCCCGTTGCCCGCCGAGATGAGCCACGAGTCGCTGATGCCGAATCATCTCCGCGAGCAGTCGATAGTCGAGCCAGCGACGGTGCCAATGCGCCCGGCGACCACGAAAGACCAGAAACAGTATTGTCCCGATCATAGTCAGTTCCAAGGCTGCAAAGATTAATTCGCCAGTGGAGTGTGGCTTAAGGTGCAACCCCACCGCTCCCAACGCCATTGCTACAGAAGTCGCCGCCAGAAAAAACGACGCCACAAATGCACTGCGGTAGGCATCAGCATACAGGTTGGCTGACTTGTCTGCCCAGGCGTAGAAGGGACGGATCGAATCGATTGCTGCGGCAACGGGATGATCTCGCTGCAGTGGCCATTCACCATCGTCAATCAATTGATTTTCGTAAGGCATAATCTTCAGAGATGGCGGCACAATCTTGCCGTGAGCGAAGAGATCACGAAACCACTTCCAACAGATTCCGAAGTGCCTGACCGGCCTCTTTTCCCGATAGTATGTCTTGAGATGCTGTAACGGGTCGTCTTTAAGTGGGAGGGGCTTATCAGTAGATTTTCCCAGTCGCGGGAGATTTAAGAGGCGATCGACCTGTTGCCTGATCTCATTGATATCATCCGATTTCGTGAGCTCCGCTCGCACACCAGATTTGATATTTTCGATCCATCGCAGCGGTTTGGATACTAATTTCCAATGATGCGGAGCGTGGGCGTCGATCCAGATAATCGGCACGCCCCGTTCGATCGCATCATCGAAGGTCTGTTCGGTCCCTCCCCGCTTGTTCTTGCGTTCGCCATCCCAGACAACGATCAAGAGATCAGACTGGTTCAAGACGACATCACCCGCCACTTGGTAGGCACGCGACTCGTTACCCCGTTGTCCGTCCAATTCGAAAACGGTCGTCGCTTTGGTCAAGAGTTCATTGAACGAATCCAGCGAGTTCTCCTCGTGAGCCTTTTCTGGTGCAAAGTCATGCTGAAACTCATCGCGAATGAATGGCAAGACCACTGTCAATTCGCAGCCAGCCTCAAGTGCCTGTTGAGCAAAAATGCGATCAACCCCCTCCGCAAGAGGTGAGATGGCCCGCACAACGGGTTTTCTGACATCGTAAAATTCATGATGAGATGCAAAATGGTGAGCAATCTGTGTCTCCACTGCAGTGATGACTTCTCTGAGCCTTGTCTGCAGAACTTCGAAGTCGGCTGCCTTAAGGCGATTAGGACGATGACCAACGACTCCAATGCGAAACACAAGTGATGGTCTGGGCGGCGATTTCAATTCCTTTGGATGCATCTCATGGTTGTTCATCACATATTCCCTGCTCTGCAGTGTCTGTTGTTTGTTACATGTTAGTCAGCCCCGGGAAAATCCAGAATGACATGCTTGCGTTTTTTCGGACAGGTTGACCTCTTATTTTAGACGGCTCAACAGGAGTTGGGCGATGTCGAAGAAGCGGTCGAGTTGAGGAAATCCGTGGGCGTAATGGCCAAAAACTCTGTCATGAGCAAACCTGCTGAAGATACTATAGCCGTTTTTATTCAGCTTTACGTTGATAATGCTTTAGCACACCACCAAGCCTTCTTTACAAACAACTTCATCAGGATTAACTGTCACAGATTGTTGCTCAGGAACGGTGCCAAGGAGAGGAACATTCTCTCACCCATGGTGAGGTCTAAAGATGTTGAAGCATTCCACCCATTCGCTGTTGGGATTGGCCGTTCCTCGACTCACCAGATTCGTGGACTGCCAATATGGATGTAGACCAACAAATAGATCTCGATCTAACCATCCATTGTCCAGACTTTCTTGGTAAAGAAATCACAGGCATACAACATATCCTTGTGTCTATGAATGAACTCATGCCATAAAGATGGACCACTTTTCGGCGTTGGTTCCTGACAGTCTTCTCGGACAATCTTCAATACTGTTGCCCGAAATATTTTTCTCCACGATCGCTTGTTTTGTGGGTAGCGAGTTAGAAGACCAGACCAGCGAGCAAAGGCACAAGAAAATTTGACTCGTTTACGTATTAGATGGCGCGATGGATGAGATGCCAGAAATTGCAGAAAATCAAACCAAATACCCTCAGCTCTATAATCAAAACCTGAGTTGGGTTTCTCAATTGTCAGAATTTGTGAGACCATGTGACATTTCATGTTCTCATGATGGCAATGGACTCATGGTCATTTACCCTGGATCGACCTAACGAGTTGGATCACAGTCTCGGCAATCTTTCGATCCGCATCAAACACAAATCCGAGGTCGCTCATCTGCTGACGTCTTTGGACAGGACTGACGCAGTTGTCAAGCTGCCTACGAAGGATTTGGATCAACGATTTTTCCGTCGCTTTTTTTGCGATTCCACACTCAATCAAGTCATTGTTGAAATTCGATTCTCCCAGATCAAAGTAGACTACTGGTCGCCCCATGAACGCCGCCTGGACGCCAACAGTCGACCGCCACGTTACGACCACATCTGCAATCGTAGCGACTTCCACTGTTGGCACTTCGCGAGGAGCCAAGTGAATCAAAGGCAGATCAGACAGGTGTTCCGCAATTGCTTTCTTTTCAGCGTTCCCATCGGTTCTTGGGTGAGCGGTAAGCACAAAGGTCGCGTCGATTCTCCCATCGGGTTGTCGTATCGAGTTTAGGAAAGCACTCAAGATTGCGTCGTAACTGTCGCCATATTGGCCTGCGAACAATACGACTCGGCGATCCGTCGGAATGCCGAGTTTTTGATAAACGTTTGCTTTGCAAAGCGAATTGCCTATGCGACGCCATGTTTCAAGCGAAGGTTGCCCCGTGATGTCCACATTTTTGATCCCGAATGCTCGAAGTCCCTTAGCGATCCTATCGGTCGGAACCAAAACGCGGTCAACTTGTTTGGAGACACGTAGAGTGATCGAATTGCCGTCTGGTGGATCAAAACCGTCGTAGATACCGACCGTCGGGATAGCTGTCGCGCCAATCGCGCGGGCCAAGTCGGCTTGGATTTGTGAAACGAGACCGAATACCACCAAATCGGGCGATAATTTAGACAAGCTATTTTGCCAGTGATCGGTCGACGAAGGGTGATGGCGATCTTTCAGATGATCCATGGCATCTAAGTTATCCGGAGGATTAATCAAATCAACATTTCTGTCGACTAGCAAACGTTGCGACCAAGGCGTCATCGGCATCCACTTTACTTGAATCCCAGACTCAGCTAGCAGAGGCTCAACAGGCAAAAACATGAGCGTTTCGCCGACGTCATATACGGCAACAACAACGGTTGCATTGTCAACAGCGGACGCCTTCTTCTGCGAGATGGTTGTTCCGATTGAACCGATGAGAGTAACCCACATTAGAATTCTTCGTGCTGTGTTTCGACAAGAATCAGTCGCAGGATGATAGGCGATGTTGCTGAATTTACGTTTGGTCATTGTCTTCGCCTTCCTCGCTGCTGTCCTCATCGTCCAGTCTTTCGAGTTCTTCGTCAATTCGCCGCTGCCAGTATGCATTCGCCGAACCGCTTTGATTGAGCATTTTCCCATGCAAGAATGCCTTCCGAGCCTCGTCACTCCGACCGGACCTTAACAAAGCGATCCCAAAATCCAGAAATGGCATTGCTCCCGATTCAGTGTCCTGATTGATTTCGGTTGCTTTAAAGAACTCTCTCCAGAGTGCAACTGCTTCATTATACTGACTTCGAACCATGGCGTAGCGAGCTTCATAACGTAAGATCCAATCCGGCTTAGCGAACTCTCGGACCCATGGGTTCGCTCGAAGGTCGCGCAAATGGTTCGCCACCCTCGATTCATCACCCAAGAAGTATCCCGCATCGACGGCGTGAGCCAAGCTGTTCATCACCCAACGAAATGCTCTGGGATCTTCGTCTTGTTGCTGAGTGAAAGTTACCAACGCATTGACTGAGCCCTCTGCAAATTGCTTGAGCGAATCTGGTTTCTCCTCGGCCAGGAAGTCCGCCCACCGTTGTAAAAAGCGGGAGATCTCTGCGCCGACAAGATCATCGCCCGATTTGGCAAATCGCACACTATTTTTAAACGCTTCTGCCGCTTGAGAGTATTCGTCTTTCAAGTAGTGCACATAACCGATTTCATACCATGCCGTGCCAAGATCGCTGTTCGATAGTTCACCATCATCTTCATCGACAACACTCAATAAACGCCTCGCTTCATCAAACTGATTTTGCCTTCGAACCATGCCTGCCAAGTCAACTCTAGCTCGTGAACGAAGTCGTTTGCCGTGCGTAGACAATCCATCTTTATCCAGATTGGCAAGCGTTTCCAAGACGCGTCGGTAGAAGATTCTCTCTCCCCTGTATGCCAAGAACGAATGAAGATCGCCCGGGCGAAAACGGCGCGATAATTGCGACTGTGGATCTAGCAATTGCTCAGAGAAAAATTCGACTGCCGGTTCCATTGCGATTCCCGGAATCGTTTCGAGCATGTAATAATCATTCAGCAGATCCGTGTCGAGATGTGGTTTATCAGAAGGCTGGTTCTCGATATCGATTTTCGCGTTTACGTGTTGGGTGTCCACGGACAATTCTTCAATGCGTCTGAGGGCAGATTTGTCTCCGACCATTCGCAACTGGTAAGGAAGTTCAAACGCCCGGCGCACATTCGGCGTGATTTGATTTCCGGAGTACCAAGTCTGCTCAATCTCAAAGTAGTCCACCAAAGATTGATGCAGCCGCTGCGAATTCGGTTCTAGGCATCGGCGATGGGCGACGAACGCCAGTTGCCGGTGATAGAAATGAATGACGTTGATTCCTGCTGCCGTGCTACTGCCCAAGAAAAAATCTAGATCAAAGAATAACCTTGACCAAACGACTGGCGGCAATTGATCTCTAGAGTCAGGGTATGGATAACGACTATTGTCGTTGAATTCGCGAAGGACTTCTTCGTTGCGGTTAAGCAATCCAAAGATTTCGGACTCTGTCAATCCTGCTCGACTTGCTGAGAGAAGACCGAGCGTCGTATTGAGCAATTGGTCTCCATGCCCCTGATCGGTTACCGCTCGATCAAGATACATTTCGATGATGCCATGGATCGAGGAGGGAAGCTCCCCATATTCAATGCCTGAATGCCACGATTTGGCAAGCTCGACCAAAACACGAAGAAAGAGCGGTCGAGGGCAGAGCGTCAGTGAGTATTCGACGGCCTTTAATTGCTTCGCGGTCAACGTCCGACCGTAGTTTCCGAGCCAGCCGATCAACATAGAACGCAGATCCTTCAAGTTTGGCTCGGATATTTCGACGATGGAATCGTTATCAAGACGCCCAGCTAAATCGTTAAAGACACCAGCGCCCGAATGCGTAGCGTCGGAGTCGGTCATGCAGGTTACAATCAGTCGACAATTTTCGGGTAACTCGCGCGGGATCCAGTTCGCGCTCAATGCGTTATCCTCGGGCGAAAGCTGGTCGAGTGCGTCAAGAAGAACAATCACTTTATGTTGGCGAGTTCCCAGCGAAAGCGCGGCGCGAAACGAAGCTGTTAAATCGTTTTTAACACTCTCGGGAACGGTCGTGGAGGTCCGCTCGGATAGTTCATCACGAATCGAATCAATCAAGAATCTCAGCGATGCTGAGCCTCCGGTAGCACCGATGAATCGGCTGACACAAACATCTTCTGGAAACTCCTTTTGAACCGTCATGGCGATTCTGGCCATCAAGCTCGTCTTTCCGGCTCCTGATGCGCCATACAGAACGAGCGGCTTATCCATCGAGCCGCTGATGTAGTATTTCGCAACGTTTTCTTCGCGTTCTCGCCTAACATAGTTGCGGATCCTTTCTTCAGCGAATGATTTGTGCGAGGCGATTTCACGATCTAGCGGTCGGACCTTCCCAAAGGCTTCCATTTGTTTGATGATCGCTTCGTGAAGGTCATCAAAGACCATATTGTTAAGTGCCTCAAGTGTATCAGGTTTGATAATCTTGGCGGACCTATGCTTGACTTCCGAGGCGTCGACCAGCCGAGCTTCGTAGTCACGTGAAGTCACCATTTTGTTTTTGTGCAAGCGCTCTCGTAGCCGCTGCAGTTTGGTAGCCGAATCGATGTCGGCAAGCTGACCAGCATCATTACGATCAACCCAAGGTTCATCGAGTTGGTCACGCGGGACATCAGGGAAACTGCGAAAATAGGCAAAGGCCTCCCATTGATCCTGCAGCGCGCATTCTGCACCGAGTTGAATCTCCTTTTCCGTCAGCGACAACTCTGACTGGAGCATCGCATCCGAGAATTGTCCGTTTGGCGTTTCCTGGATGCACGTTCTAAATAGGTTACGTAACGGAATCTCAACTTCGTCCCGCCAATAACTAGCCTCGCGCTCATCATCGGTTGCACGTTCGCGAAGTCGGTAAACCGGAGGAACATTATTTTGATCGTACCGATACCAATCATCCAGCAAAGGACGCAAGGCTCCCGCGGTCGCTTGTAACGCATTCCAATCTGATTGCGATAGGTCGACCGGAAGAGGACGCCAGCCGTACCGCTGACCGACCAGCGCGATAAAACTGGGACGCGGCGAGACTTGGCGGCAACGCCGAATCTCTTCAAGGCAGAGAGACTCGGTTCGCTGGTCCCAAGCAGCTTCCTCATTGACGCCCCAACGCAAATCAATCACGTGAAATTGAAACCCTTCAGATTCACAGATCTCACGAAGTTTTTGAAACGCGTCGCGATGCAAAGCATCGCGTTCGAACTGCATGTCTTTGAAAGTGGAACTTAAAAAGACGCGTATTGTTTTGTTGAACATCTGGCCAAAAAGTTAAAGTTGATTAAGTAAAAAAAGGTATGCCGCGAACTTCCCTCACTGTAAAGAAACTCACGCAACTCGATCGAAATGTCTATTGTGAAACTTGATACTGATACTTCGGCAAGTGATGCCCAAACGCGAATCATTCTATCGGGGGGGTGAGCCGAAGGTAAATACAAGGAAAGGGGAAGCCGACGGGCCCGGATAGTCCAAGGTCAGAAAGTGTTTTGAAATTGCATTGAAGATTCTCTTGACATTGTCCGGGTGTGTGATACATATGTTCACATCACCCAAGCCGCTTTGCGCGGTGGAACCCAGCCTGTCGGCTCTGTCATGCCGGAGACATTGAAGCAACTGACAGGCAAGCTGGATCGGTTCTGATGGCGACTTTTCTTTTTGAGATCGCTCCACTCCCTCCGCTGAACTCAGTTCGCTTCAGACAAACCTCTGGAGCAATCGTATGAAGGGTCAACTCCCTGTTCATCGCATCGAGAGCTTATCCGTCATTGGCGGGTTTCTGGATGGATTACATCTGGAGTTCGGCGAAGGGCTGAACTGCATCATCGGTGCGAGAGGAACCGGAAAAACGACCGCAATTGAGTTCATCGGGTATGCGCTGGATCTTCTTCCGAATCAGGAACATGCCGCTCAGGATCGACGGCGAATCGACACTCTCGTCAAACGGAACTTGAACGGCGGACGAATCGAAGTGGGAATTCGGACCAAGGATCGAACGCCATTCAAAGTGATCCGATCTTATGGGGACGAACCGATCGTCCTGGATGAAGATGGTGATCCATCTCCGGTGGCGCTGAAGTCAGGTCTTTTCCGAGCGGAGATCTTTGGACAGAACGCGGTGGAGTTGATTGCCGATCGTCCGCTGTTCCAGTTGGACTTGATCGACAGTTTCTCAAATCAGGCGATCGGTGAAATCAACTCGCGTGAACGGCAACTGACCTCGATGCTGACTGCGAACGCTCATCAGTTGATGCCCATGGAGCAGGAGGTGGCTGCAATCCGGGAAGACCTAGCTGGGCTACCATCTCTGGAAACCAAACTCAGAGCTTTCGCGGATGCGGCTGGCGATGCCAGTGACGAGATCAATGAAGCCCATCGTCTCAAGGGATTACGAGATCGTGAGTCCCGATCTCTCCAGCGCGGACAATCCCTGGTAGAGCAACTGCAAACTTCTGCAGAACGCCTTCGAGGCAACCTGCAAACAAGGACCAAGACGCTCTTCGATCCGGAAGTGAAAAAGGGACCAAATGTCGATATCCTGCGAGCAGTCCATCAATCGCTGATGGATTGTGGGACGGAAGTAGATCAATTGATTGACCAGATTGTCCAACGGTTGAATACGGCAGCCCAGTCGGTCAGCGAACATTCGAACATCCTTTCGCACCAGCACAAAGAACAGGAACTGGCATTTCGAGCCACGATTGAGAAACACCAGCAGGCTCAGAAGCAGGCAGCGGATCGGTCCGCATTGGAGAAACAGCGGAACGATCTGCTTGCCAAACAGCGACTACTGGAAGAACGCCAACAAGAGATTCAATCGCTCTATGCCGAGCGCCGTCGGCAACTGCAGCAATTGATCGAGGTCCGGGACGAACGTTTCGATATTCGCAATCAGATTGCGGATCGCATTAACGAACAGCTCTCTCCAACGATTCGCGTGACGATCCAACAGGATGGAGATCTCAACGAATACAAATCACTCGTCGAAGGCCAACTGCGCGGCGGAGGGCTGAAACATGGCGTCGCCGCCGAGAAAATCGCCAAGGCGCTGACACCTGCAGAACTCGCGGAAGTCGTCAGAAAACGAACGACGGATGTTCTGGTTGACCGGGCGGAACTGACATCCGATCAGGCCAGCAAAGCAATGGCCAACCTGAGCGATGCCGAGTTCCTGTTCGAGCTGGAAACCGTTCAGTTGGGCGATCAGCCGTTGATCGAACTCAAAGATGGTGATGACTATAAGGATACGTCATCGCTGTCAACCGGTCAGAAATGCACGGCAATTCTGCCCATCCTGCTTCTGGAAAATGAAAACCCGCTGATCATCGACCAGCCAGAAGACAACCTCGACAACCGTTTCATTTTCCAGACCGTTGTCGAAAGCGTGGCTCGGGTGAAGCCGAAACGGCAACTGATCCTGGTGACTCACAATCCAAATATCCCTGTGCTGGGCGACGCAGATCATGTTGTGGTTCTCGAATCGGATGGCGCGAGAGCCAAGGTGACCAAGTCAGGCAACGTGGATGCCTGCAAGAGTGAAATTGTCACGCTACTGGAGGGAGGAGAAGAGGCGTTTCGGAAACGGGGAGAACGTTATGGTCAAGCATGACGATTCCCACGAACCCGATTGGGCAGGTGTACTTGGCAAGTTGGAACTGGATCGCGATGCAATTTCGTGGCCTGATCGCGAATCACTGTTGCCATTGGATTGGCAACCTGAGGAGACACCGTCGCCAGATTTGCTGGCTGTAATTTCGCTCCTTTCCACGGATGTGAAATGGCAGGTTCGTCGCCGTGTGGCTGCGACGTTGGTCTGGTTGCCTGACTCTCTGTTTGGTGAATTGGCAGCTCGTCTCACCCAAGACACGCATGCGTATGTGCGTCGAGACGCGGAACGGGCCATCGATCGTCGCCAGCGCGGACTCCAATCTCGAAAGTCGAGTGTTCAGGGAGGACTGGCCAGTGAATACTCGTCCATGGAGCGGCTCTATGGGTCCATGCCAACACGCAAGGCACGCCGAATTGTCGAGAAACACTTCGATGCACTCGTTGGCGGGACAGTCCATAACATGCGAGGCCTGTTGACACCAATCACGCATAGTGCCGAGGAACTTCAGGCACTCGCGAACTCCGGCAGCGTCAATCGAAAATTGTTCAATCGTCACACGCAGGCGATCATCGATCGGGTGGGAGACCTGCAGCAGTTCTTGGATGACATGCGTGCCTATGCGCTGGCAACGCCCAGCCAGCGCAGACGAGAACGTCTCGTCGATCTGGTGAATGAAGCACTGGATGTTGCTTGTCGTCATTTTGAGGAAATTGGTCACGATCCGCAGATGATCGAAATTAGGTTGTCGATTCCCGGATCGATTACCGCCGAGGTCGCCCGTCATCAGATTCTGTCCGTATTCACAAATCTATTGCGGAACGCGTTTGAGGCGTTCCGACCGCTGGAAAATGATATTGGACCATTCTGGATTTCCGTCTCAGCGACTACAGATGATGACCGCATTTCGATTCTGTTCGAAGACAACGGAGTTGGATTCGGTGAAGACGATTTGATGCATATTCGAGAATTCATTCCTGGGCACAAGACGCTCAAGCATGATGGCACCGGGTTCGGACTCCCGACTG